TCTTTTCCCCACCCTGGATGTTATTCCACAGGTATATATATATATACACTCCTCATGCTTCACTTACCTTTATGCAGAGACCTTCACTGATTGACTTTGCAGTTGCAAGGCTACGCAATGCTATTCAGGCTTGCTCATTGCAATATTATATACATATATGTATGTGTGTGTGTGTATATATATGTATGTGTATGTACACACACACACATGCACACACACAGATCATATATGTGTATATACACACGCACTTGTGGAATAATGTATTTTTGAAGAGAGTGAGAATGTTGCAATTAGCAAGCTTGTATGTACATATATATACACACATACATACACAAACACTCCACTTGCCTCACTGCCAACAGACCTCACTGGCATTAGCCACAGATGCAGGCGAAATGTCAGGAGAGAATGCTGCAGGAACAGGGCCATTGACCCCTTGCGGGTGATGCTCGCTTGAAATCTCGAAAACGCCCCCTTTCCTCTTTTGCGTCGTTCTCAATTTGTCCGCCGCCCGCCAGATCAGTTGGTCCCTAATATATGCTAATCGATGCAAATTAGTTTCTCAAAATGGGCCTTGAGTCAAAGGGGGCGTTTTGCTTACTCTTTGCAAGCCTGCAACGCCCGCCCTGAGCTATGAAAAGATTTACAGGGCAACTGGCTAGACAAACCAGCTTTGCTGAGAGACACCGCAGGGTGACTTCAGGCGCATGCCGTCTCCTCCGCCTGCCGCAAAACTGTGCCAGATATTAGCATATTTGCATATTTAATGTATACCTGCGCGGTGACCTTGCAGCTGGGACTGGGCAAAACTTTTTCTACCTGCCGCCCATCCAGAAACATCTTCCATTTCTATATGTCCGGTTCTGCATAATGCTACTTCATTGTACAACCTATGGATGAGATACCAAATGGAGCAGATGAAATGTCAGGAGAGAGTGCTACTGGAACATTTCCAGGCAGCATGAAAAATTTACAGGAACCCAGTGATTCCAGCCAGTGAGTCACCTCTCAAAAAAAGATTTCCTCCCAGGCAGGAAGCAGCCTCCAGGTAACAACAGTCAGGCTACCTCTATGCAAGTACCCTCACTGATTGACTTTGCAGCTTCATGGCCACTCAGTGCTAATCAAGGTGCCCAGTGGCACTTGTCTCAAGCACACAAAGGTTCTTTCTCCCGCCCTGGACATTATTCCACACACACACACACACAGTCCACCTGCCTCATTTCCAACAGATCTCTATGTAGATACCCTCACTGATTGACTTTTTAGCTGCAAGGCTACTCAATGCAAAACCAAGCTGGCCACTTGACACCAACAGACAAGAGTCCTTTCTCCCACCCTGGACATTATTCCACAGATATAAACAAACCTCTATGCAGATACCCTCACTGATTGACTTTGCAGCTGCAAGGCTATTCAGTGCAAAACAAGCTGGCCACTTGCCTCCAACAGACAAGAGTTCTTTCTCCCACTCTGGATGTTATAACACACACACACACACACACAGTCCACTTGCCTGATTTCAAACAAACCACTATGCAGATATCCTCACAGATTGACTTGGTAGCTGCAAGGCTATTCGATGCAAAACCAAGCTGGCCACTTGCTTCCAACAAACAAGAGTTCTTTCTCCCACCCTGTGTACTATTTCACAGATACATATATATATATCCACAGTCCACTTGCCTCATTTCCAACAGACCTCTATGCAGATACCCTCATTGATTGACTTTGCACCTGCAAGGCCATTCAGTGCTAATCAAGCTGGCCAACTGGAACATTCACACTTGCTTCCAACGGAGAAGAGTTCTTTCTCCCACAGTGGGCGTTATTCCACAGATATATATATATTATACAGTCCACTTGCCTCATTTCTAATTGGAGGTAATTGCGTCTGAGGCGGCTCCCGGACAGGTTTGCAGGAACACAATGTTCCAAAATGCAACGCAGGCTCCATGTGCGTCTCCAGGCAGACCTGCAGGGCCGGCCATTTAGGGCCAGAGAGGCTGACCGCCCGGATTGCCCTAAGTTGCCTTCCGGTGCCAAGTGGTGCGCTCTTCTAAGAAAGAGAAAAGCAAAAGCCATCACAAAAGCAGCAGTCCGGAGAGCCAAACCCAAACAGCTGCAAAGTCAATCAGTGAGGGTATCTGCATAGAGTTTGGTTGGAAATGGGGCAAGTGGAATGTATCAGTGTAATAATGTCCAAGGTGGGAGAAAGAACTCTCGCTTGTGGGAGGCTAATGTGAATAGTGCAATTGGCCAGCTTGCTTTTGCATCCAATATCCTTGCAGCTGCAAAGTCGATCAGGGAGGGTATCTGCATAGAGCGGTTGGAAATGAGGCAAGTGGACTTTATATCCCTGTGGAAGAATGTCCAGGGTGGGGGAAAGAGCCCTTGTCTGCTCGAAGCAAGTGTGAATGTTGCAATTAGCAACCTTGAATAGCATTCTGTAGCCACGAAGTTTGCGAAGTCAATCAGGGAGGGTGTCTGCATAAATTTCTACTGGAAATGAAACAAGTGGACTGTATAGATCCCTGTGGAATAATGTCCAGGGTGGGAGAAGGAATCCTCTCCCACCCTGTTTAAAGCAAGTGTGGGTGTTGCAATTAGCAAACTTGGTTTGCAAAGTCAGTCAGTGAGTGAATCTGCATAGAGGTAGCCTGGCCTCTATTGCCTGGAGGCACCCTCTGTGAAATAATGTCCAGGGTGGGAGAAAGAACTCTTTGTTGGAGCCAAATGTGAATGTTGCAGTTGGCCAGCCTGCTTTGGCATCAAATAGCCTTGCAGCTGCAAAGTCAATCAGTGAGGGTATCTTTATATATACACTCCATTTGCTTCGCTACCTCTATGTAGAGACCCTCACTGGTTGACTTTGTAAACTTCATGGTTACTCAGTGCTATTCAAGCTTGCTAATTGCAACATTCCACAGATATATATATATACACACATACATCATTTGCTTCACTACCTCTATGCAGAGACCCTCACTGATTGACTTTGCAAACTTCATGGCGACTCAGTGCTATTCAAGCTTGCTAATTGCAACATTCACACTTGCTTCAAATATACAAGAGTTCTTTCTCCCACCCTGGACATCATTCCACAGAGGGTGCCTCCAGGCAACAGAGACCAGGCGACCTCTATACAGAGACCCTCACTGATTGACTTGGCAAACTTCACAGCTACTCAGTGCTATCCAAGCTTGCTAATTGCAACATTCACACTTGCTTCAAATATACAAGAGTTCTTTCTCCCACCCTGGACATCATTCCACAGAGGGTGTCTCCAGGAAACAGAGACCAGGCGACCTCTATACAGAGACCCTCACTAATTGACTTTGCAAACTTCATGGTTACTCAGTGCTAGTCAAACTTGCTAATTGCAACATTCACGGTTATATATACACTTAATTTGCTTCACTACCTCTATGCAGAGACCCTCACTGATTGACTTTGCAAACTTCATGGCGACTCGATGCTTATTCACGCTCGCTAGTTGCAACATTCATGCTTGCTTCAAACAGACAAAGGCTCTTTCTCCCACCATGGACATCATTCCACGGGTATATATACACTCCATTTGGTTCACCACCTCTATGCAGAGACCCTCACTGATTGACTTTGCAAACTTCATGGTTTGCAAACTACTAAGTGCTGTTCAAGCTTGCTAATTGCAACATTCCACAGGTATATATACACACATATATCATTTGCTTCACTACCTCTATGCAGAGACCCTCACTGATTGACTTTGCAAACTTCACAGTTGATCAGTGTTATTCAAGCTTGCTAATTGCAACATTCACACTTGCTTCAAATAGATAACGGCTCTTTCTCCCACCATGGACATTATTCCACAGGTATATGTATACTCAATTTGCTTCACTACCTCTATGCAAAGACCCTCACTGATTGAATTTGCAAACTTCACGGCAACTCAGTGCTATTCAAGCTTGCTAATTGCAACATTCATGCTTGCTTGAAACAGACAAGGGTTCTTCCTCCCACTCTGGACATTATTCCACAGGTATATGTATACTCAGTTTGCTTCACTACCTCTATGCAAAGACCCTCACTGATTGAATTTGCAAACTTCACGGCAACTCAGTGCTATTCAAGCTTGCTAATTCCAACATTCATGCTTGCTTGAAACAGACAAGGGTTCTTCCTCCCACTCTGGACATTATTCCACAGGTATATGTATACTCAATTTGCTTCACTACCTCTATGCAAAGACCCTCACTGATTGACTTTGCAAACTTCACGGCGACTCAGCAAGGGTTCTTCCTCCCACCACAGACATCATTATATATATAAACACACACACTCCACTTGCCCCATTTCCAGCAGAACCTCTGAGGATGCCCTTAGCCACAGATGCAGGCGAAAGGTCAGGAGAGAATGCTGCGGGAACACAGCAAAAACTCAAAAACTCACCGCGACCCAGTTCTAGGAATGCCAACCATTGCCAGTTAGAGCCAGTCCCAGGGAACTCGGTGACCTGACCGGGGATAACCCCTGATTGCAGTTGCATTGCTTTGCAAGGAAGGCTTGTGCAAAGTGGTGGAAAATAGCCCTTTGTTTTGGAGATCCCGGAAGTGGAGCGCCCTCTAATGGTAATGGTGCAAAGTGGTCAACTTTGGGCAAACTTTGTTTTGTTTTCTATTTAGGAAATAGTTAATATTTGCTGCATTAATGGTTTTGAACGTTTGGAATGGGCATGGGCAAGCTTTGGCCCTCCGGGTGTTTTGGACTCCAACTCCCACAATTCCTAACAGCCGGTAGGCTGTTAGGAATTGTGAGAGTTGGAGTCCAAAACACCCGGAGGGCCGAAGTTTGCCCATGCCTGGTTTGGAATCTATTATTTGTTTTTATGATGCATATATCCATTTGCTCCTCCTAATCGAAAAATTGCCATTATGAACTACAACTCCCAGCAGATCTGTGACTTTTGGGTTGCTTTGCTGATCTTTTTGACGCCTCTCTTTATTCTCTTGCAGATTCCAAAGGGTCCTTGGAAAAGCGCAAAGTAGGTAAGGGATCCACTCCATCCTCTCCCTTCTTGGTGCACCTAGAACCGTGGTTCTCCACCTTCTTAATGCCAAGACCTCTTAATACAGTTCCTCATGATGTGGTGACCCCCAACCATAATATTATTTAATAATAATATTTAATAATATTTTAACAATTTTAGTAATATATCATTTTAGTAATTTGTTTATAATAATATAATTTTATATTTTATTTTAACGATTTGTTTACAATATTTTTATATTTTATTTTAATTGTTTGGGAGTTGTAGTTCACCTACATCCAGAGAGCTCTGTGGACTCAAACAATGATGGATCTGGACCAAACTTGGTACGAATACTCAATCTGCCCAAATGTGAACACTGGTGGAGTTTGGGGAAAATAGACCTTGACATTTGGGAGGTGTAGTTGCTGGGATTTATAGTTCACCCACAATCAAAGAGCATTCTGAACCCCACCAATGATATAATCGGCCCAAACTTTCTGAACAGAACTGCCATGTTAAACCGCTTTGGGTCTCCTTTGGAAGAGATAGAGCAGGGTATCAATAAATATAATAATAAACACTTGTATTATTATTATTATTATTATTATTATTATTAATAGTACTTGTTATTTTTCTCTCTCTCCAGGACCCAAGAAGAAAAGGCCGCCCATTTTGCAAATGCCACCGGCTAATAAGCAGTCGTCTGTCCCTCCAACGTAAGATCCGTTACATTGATCTCTTGTAAACAACTTCTATTGATCACAGGATGCTGAAACTGCCCATGTGTAATGATACCAGGGTTGAATGAAAAGTAATGCCTCCACCTTCGTTACTTGGGTTTGGGTGGGAATATTTTAATAAATCAAACGCAGAAATAATCCTGAGAACGTGCTCTTTAACTCCCACTATTCACTTTTCCACATAATCACCAGACAATTGGATACATTTCTGCCAACAATAAACCCTTTTTCCTAGTTGCAACAGACCTCACTACCTCTGAGGATGCTTGCCATAGATGCAGGCGAAAGTCAGGAGAGAATGCCTCTAGACCATGGCCATATAGCCAAAAAACCTACAACAACCCAGAGAGGAAACAAACAAGGACATCTAATCACCTCTCAACAAAAGTTTGCTCCAGGCACTGTCAGGCCATTATATGCTAATCAAGGTGGTCAGTTGAAACATTCACACCTAGCTCCAGCAGACAAGAGTCCTTTGTCCCACCCTGGTCATTCCACAGATATCTAAACCCTTTTTCCTAGTTCCAACAGACCTCACTACCTCTGAGGATGCTTGCCATAGATGCAGGCGAAACGTCAGGAGAGAATGCCTCTAGACCATGGCCATATAGCCCGAAAAAACTACAACAACCCAGTGATTCCGGCCATGAAAGCCTTCGACAATGACATCTAATCACCTCTCAACAAAAGTTTGCTCTAGGCACTGTCAGGCCATTATATGCTAATCAAGGTGGTCAGTTGAAACATTCACATCTAGCTCCAGCAGACAAGAGTTCTTTGTCCCACCCTGGTCATTCCACAGATAAATAAACCCCTTTTCCTAGTTCCAACAGACCTCACTACCTCCGAGGATGCTTGCCATAGATGCAGGCGAAACGTCAGGAGAGAATGCCTCTAGAACATGGCCATACGGCCCGAAAAAACCTACAACAACCCAAAGCTGAAAGTATTGTCGATGGCTTTCATGGCTGGAATCACTGGGTTGTTGTGAGTTTTCTGGGCTGTCCGGCCATGTTCTAGAAGCATTCTCTCCTGACGTTTCACCTGCATCTGTAACAGGCATCCTCAGAGGTTGTGTTGGAAACTAGGAAAGTGAGGTCTGTGAGGATGCCTGACATAGCCGTGGTCTAGAGGCATTCTCTCCTGACGTTAGCTCCAGCAGACAAGAGTTCTTTGTCCCACCCTGGTCATTCCGCAGGTATATAAACCAATTTTCCTAGTTCCAACAGACCTCACTACCTCTGAGGATGCTTGCCATAGATGCAGGCGAAACGTCAGGAGAGAATGCTTCTGCAACATGGCCAGACAGCCTGGAAAACTCACAGCAACCAGAGCGGAAAGTCTTTAATGATGTGCTCCAATCTAGAAAAGCCTAGCCATCGTTTGGCAGGACTGTAATAATAATAATAATAATAATAATAATAATAATAATAATGTTATTGTTATTATTATTATTATTATTATTATTATTATTATTAATAATAGCAGCAACTTGCGAAGTGTCCGACGTGTGATCCAATACAACAGCCAGCACAGTGCCTGCTGTGGACTCATTTATTCATTTCAGTCATTTCTACCCCGCCTTTCTCACCCCCTCAAGGCGGCTTACATCCGGCACAATTCGATGCCCAGAATTACAATAAAAATGCAATAGCAATAACACAATAGATTAAAAACAGTCAATTAATACAGTACAATACAACACAATACAATATCAACTAAAACCGCTCTATAGCCCGCGTTCATCGTGTTCTAAAATCCGTCAATCCGTTTAGCATTGCCATAGTCCTTTCCAACTCTAGTCATTATTACCTTGTTACCCTGCCAGACTACCCAAATGCTTAGTCCCATATCCATGTCTTCAGCTTCCTTCTGAAGGAGAGGAGGGATGTTGACAACCTAATTTCACAGGCGAGGGGCCACCACTGAGAAGGCCCTGTCTCTCGTCCCCACCAGCCTCACTTGTGATAAAGGTGGGGCCGAGAGCAGGGCCTCCCCAGAAGATCTTAAACTCCGTGGTGGGACATAGAAGGAGATATGTTGTGAACCGCTGTGAGTCGCCTTCGGGCTTGAGATACAGCGGTATATAAGCAAAGTAAGTAAATAAATAAATAAATATGTTCGGACAAGTACACTGGTTGCCATGGCGGCCATGAAGTCCTGAGCCGCAACTGATAAGGAGGTCTCGGCATGCACATTGAAATCTCCCAGCACCAAAAGGCGCTGAGAATTCAACGCCATGTCCGAGATCACTCCTGCTAGCTCAGGTAGGGAGACTGTAGTGCAGCGGGGTGGTTGGTACACTAACAGAATCCCTATCCTGTCCCGGTCTCCTATCCTGATGCCGACACACTCAAAAGAAGATGATGGAGGGATGGGGCACCTGATCAGGGGGATAACGTCCTTATAGATCACCGCAACTCCTCCTCTCCATCTTGTGATGTTTCTAATAATAATAATAATAATAATAATAATACTAATAGCAACAACTTGGGAAGTGTCCGACGTGTGATCCAATACAACAGCCAGCAGAGTGTCTGCTGTGGACTCATCTTGTGATGTTTCTAATAATAATAATAATAATAATAATAATAATAATAATAATAATAGCAACAACTTGGGAAGTGTCCGACGTGTGATCCAATTCAACAACCAGCACAGTGTCTAGTGTGGACTCATCTTGTGATGTTTCTAATAATAATAATAATAATAATAATAATAATAATAATAATAATGTTAACAATAATAATAATAATAGCAACAACTTGGGAAGTGTCCGACGTGTGATCCAATACAACAGCCAGCGCAGTGTCTGCTGTGGACCCATTTTGTGATGTTTCCAATAATAATAATTAATAATAATAATAATAATGTTTCTAATAGTAATAATTAATAATAATAATAATAATAATAATAATAATAATAATAATAGCAACAACTTGGGAAGTGTCCGATGTGTGATACAATACAACAGCCAGCGCAGTGTCTGCTGTGGACTCATCTTGTGATGTTTCTAATAATAATAATTAATAATAATAATAATAATGTTTCTAATAGTAATAATTAATAATAATAATAATAATAATAATAATAATAATAATAGCAACAACTTGGGAAGTGTCCGACGTGTGATCCAATACAACAGCCAGCGCAGTGTCTGCTGTGGACCCATTTTGTGATGTTTCCAATAATAATAATTAATAATAATAATAATAATGTTTCTAATAGTAATAATTAATAATAATAATAATAATAATAATAATAATAGCAACAACTTGGGAAGTGTCCGATGTGTGATACAATACAACAGCCAGCGCAGTGTCTGCTGTGGACTCATCTTGTGATGTTTCTAATAATAATAATTAATAATAATAATAATAATGTTTCTAATAGTAATAATTAATAATAATAATAATAATAATAATAATAATAATAATAATAGCAACAACTTGGGAAGTGTCCGACGTGTGATCCAATACAACAGCCAGCGCAGTGTCTGCTGTGGACCCATTTTGTGATGTTTCCAATAATAATAATTAATAATAATAATAATGTTTCTAATAGTAATAATTAATAATAATAATAATAATAATAATAATAATAATAATAGCAACAACTTGGGAAGTGTCCGATGTGTGATACAATACAACAGCCAGCGCAGTGTCTGCTGTGGACTCATCTTGTGATGTTTCTAATAATAATAATTAATAATAATAATAATAATGTTTCTAATAGTAATAATTAATAATAATAATAATAATAATAATAATAATAATAATAGTAGCAACAACTTGGGAAGTGTCCGACGTGTGATCCAATACAACAGCCAGCACAGTGCCTGCTGTGGACTCATGCGACCGTACCTTGGGAAGTCTGACTTGGCCACGGTAGTCCACGCTCTGGTTACATCCCGTCTTGACTACTGCAACGCTCTCTACGTGGGGTTGCCTTTGAAGACGGCTCGGAAGCTCCAATTAGTCCAACGGGCGGCAGCCATGATACTAACAGGAGCGGGGCGCAGGGAGCATACAACTCCTCTGCTGCACCAGCTCCACTGGCTGCCGATTTGCTACCGGGCCCAATTCAAAGTGCTGGCGCTGGCCTTTAAAGCCCTAAACCCGTGATGGCGAACCTATGACACGCGTGTCAGCACTGACACGCATAGCCATTTTCAATGACACGCAGCCACATAGCGCCAAATCCCGAAGGGCACGCCCCTGGCTGGTTGCTTGCTTGCTCGCTCCTCCAAACGGTAGAAAGAGAGGGAGAGAGGAAAAAAGGTGTGCTGTCTCTTTAAGGAGCGCTCGCGGGAGAAAGGATCCTCCGGCCCCGCCCCTCGCCTGCCAATCACCCGGCTGCGCCTTTGACCTGGCAGCTTTTGGTGAAGGGAGGCGAGGGCTGTCTCTGCCCGCGCACAGGCGCACACACAGGCGCACCTTGGTGGTTGGGGTCTTTTTTTCCTCCTCCTCAGCTAAACCCATCCGGCGCTGCTGCTTCTGTCTCAGGCTGGGCTGGCAGCTAGTCAAACTTTCCTGAGGCAGGAGGGCCAAGTTGGGGGGGGGGGGGCGCTGGCCCCATCCTGCATTCCCTCCTCTCTTCCTCACTTTTCCAGATTTTCCCTTTCTCTCTCTCTCTCTCTCTCTCTCTCTCCTCCTCCTTCCTATTCACCCCACCCTTCCTTTCCTCCATCCTGTGATCCTGGTATTTTCACTGTAGTTTTTAGATCTCTCCTCCCATCCCAACATCCTTCTGACCGTCTATTCCTGTTCTTCTCTGCCTCTCTGCTCAGGGTGGGGTGCAACAGAGCTAAAACACATAATTACAAGTAATCAAATGCCTATATTAAAAGACATCAACCAAAGCTTTACACACATTGGGTTGCTGTGAGTTTTCCGAGCTGTCTGGCCATGTTCCAGGAGCATTCTCTCCTGACGTTTTGCTCACATCTTATGGCAGCATCCTCAGAGGTTTGTTGGAAACTAGGCAAGTGGGGTTTATATCCCTGTGGAATAACGTCCAGGGTGGGAGAAATCTGTTAGAGGCAAGTGTGAATGTTGCAATTGGCCACTTTGATTAGCACTAAATGGTCTTGCAGCTTCAAAATCTGGCTCCTTCCTGCTCAGGGGAATCCTTTGTTGGGAGGTGTTAGCTGGGCCTGACTGATTCTTGTCTGGAATCCCTCTGTTTTCTGAGTGTTGCTCTTTCTTTACTGTCCTGATTTTAGAGTTTTTTAAATATTGCTAGCCAGGTTATGCTCATTTTCATGGTTTCCTCCTTTTTGTTGAAATTGTCCACATGCTTGTGGATTTCAGTGGCTTCTCACAATTTTTGTGACATCTTATTCTCAGTGTTAAACAATATTTTTTTACATTTATCTTTACATTGCTTTAGTTTCAATACATTTTTTCTTCCACCCCTAATCCTCCCCCCTCCCCCCATTGACAAGATGGTCCTTCTTCATTTATTCGAGCCTTCATTGCATTCTATCTAGTTTTTTCCTCCAATGTTCGTCTTCTGGTTTAGCTTCTTGTATCCAATTTTTAAAGGGTGTGTGTTAAATAATATCAAGACCAACAAAAGAAACCGACTGAAGGATGAACAAAGATGTCACTAAGCAGTTAAATAATTAATTTTTGGATTATTAAATAAATTGTAATTTATATATTACAATTATGCATTTTTGTTATTTAAAGTAAATATCGCAAAATTATGGGGTTTTTTTTCTCAAAGTGGCACCCCACCTGAATTATGCTTGGTTTTTTGGCGAATTTTGACACACCAAGCTCAAAAGGTTGCCCATCACTGCCCTAAACGGTTCTGGCCCAACTTATCTATCCGAACGTATCTCTGCCTATCAGCCCACCAGGACCCTAAGATCTTCTGGGGAGGCCCTGCTCTCTATCCCGCCTGCTTCACAGGTGCGGCTGGCGGGAACGAGAGACAGGGCCTTTTCTGTGGTGGCCCCTCGGCTTTGGAATGCCCTCCCCATAGAGGTGAGATCAGCCCCTTCGCTGATGGTATTTCGAAAAAGGTTGAAGACATGGATGTTTAAACAAGCATTCGATTAATCTGGTGCAACGAAACTGATGAACAAGGATTGGTTAATCACAGACGACGAAATTGGATTGCGACTACAATTAAGAGATGCATTGGATTATTATTGGTGGCCCAATAATATTGTGTATTGTGTATGTGTTTTTATGCTTTTTAATGGAATATTGCTGCTTGTCGTTGTGTTGTAAACCGCGTTGAGTCGCCGATTTAGGCTGAGAAACGGCGGTATATAAGCACAGTAATAAATAAATAAATAATAATTTTGTGATGTTTCTAATAAATAATAATAATAATATTGTTAATAATAATAATAATAATAATAATAATAATAGCAACAACTTTGGAAGTGTCCGACGTGTGATCCAATTCAACAGCCAGCACAGTGTCTAGTGTGGACTCATCATGAGATGTTTCTAATAATAATAATTAATAATTAATAATATTAATGTTAATAATAATAATAATAGCAACAACTTCGGAAGTGTCCTAAATAATAATAATAATAATAATGTTAATAATAATAATAATAATAATAATAATAATAATAATAGCAACAACTTGGGAAGTGTCCTAAATAATAATAATAATGTTAATAATAATAATAATAATAATAATAATAATAATAATAATAGCAACAACTTGGGAAGTGTCCTAAATAATAATAATAATAATAATAATGTTAATAATAATAATGTTAATAATAATAATAATAATAATAATAATAATAATAGCAACAACTTGGGAAGTGTCCTAAATAATAATAATAATAATGTTAATAATAATAATAATAATAATAATAATAATAGCAACAACTTGGGAAGTGTCCTAAATAATAATAATAATGTTAATAATAATAATAATAATAATAATAATAGCAACAACTTGGGAAGTGTCCTAAATAATAATAATAATAATAATAATAATAATAATAATAATAATAATAGCAACAACTTGGGAAGTGTCCTAAATAATAATAATAATGTTAATAATAATAATAATAATAATAATAATAATAATAGCAACAACTTGGGAAGTGTCCTAAATAATAATAATAATGTTAATAATAATAATAATAATAATAATAATAGCAACAACTTGGGAAGTGTCCTAAATAATAATAATAATAATAATAATAATAATAATAATAATAATAATAATAATAATGTTAATAATAATAATAATAATAATAATAATAATAGCAACAACTTGGGAAGTGTCCTAAATAATAATAATAATGTTAATAATAATAATAATAATAATAATAATAATAGCAACAACTTGGGAAGTGTCCTAAATAATAATAATAATGTTAATAATAATAATAATAATAATAATAATAATAATAGCAACAACTTGGGAAGTGTCCTAAATAATAATAATAATGTTAATAATAATAATGTTAATAATAATAATGTTAATAATAATAATAATAATAATAATAGCAACAACTTGGGAAGTGTCCTAAATAATAATAATAATGTTAATAATAATGTTAATAATAATAATAATAATAATAATAATAATAGCAACAACTTGGGAAGTGTCCTAAATAATAATAATAATGTTAATAATAATAATAATAATAATAATAATAGCAACAACTTGGGAAGTGTCCTAAATAATAATAATAATGTTAATAATAATAATAATAATAATAATAATAATAATAGCAACAACTTGGGAAGTGTCCTAAATAATAATAATAATAATAATAATTAATAATAATAATAATAATAATAATAATAATAGCAACAACTTGGGAAGTGTCCTAAATAATAATAATAATGTTAATAATAATAATAATAATAATAATAATAATAATAATAGCAACAACTTGGGAAGTGTCCTAAATAATAATAATAATGTTAATAATAATGTTAATAATAATAATAATAATAATAATAATAGCAACAACTTGGGAAGTGTCCTAAATAATAATAATAATGTTAATAATAATAATAATAATAATAATAATAATAATAGCAACAACTTGGGAAGTGTCCTAAATAATAATAATAATGTTAATAATAATAATAATAATAATAATAATAGCAACAACTTGGGAAGTGTCCTAAATAATAATAATAATGTTAATAATAATAATAATAATAATAATAATAATAATAATAATAATAGCAACAACTTCGGAAGTGTCCTAAATAATAATAATAATAATGTTAATAATAATAATAATAATAATAATAATGGCAACAACTTGGGAAGTGTCCTAAATAATAATAATAATAATGTTAATAATAATAATAATAATAATAATAATGGCAACAACTTGGGAAGTGTCCGATGTGTGATACAATACAACAGCCAGCGCAGTGTCTGCTGTGGACTCATCTTGTGATGTTTCTAATAATAATAATAATAATAATAATAACAACAACAACAACTTTATTTATACACCGCCACCATCTCCTCCAAGGGGATTCGGGGTGGCTTACATAAGGCCACGCCCACAATACAGGAAAACACAATATAAACACAAATACACAACAAAAAAATAAATAAAATAAATTACATAAGATGCAAAACCAATATAAGTAAACAACACAACAGCACAAAATCAAACAGTAAAACAACGCCAAACTATAGCTTTGTGGAACGAATACTAAGCCATAATTTCCTGGAAACCATAGTTGCTTGGTTTTGGACTAAACAGAAGATTTGCTTGATGGTATAGTTGTTTGAAAACAGTTAGTGGTGGTTCTTTGGGTCAGATCATTCACGAAAACGAATCATGTCTTCGCTTTGCTATTTGTTTTCTCAATACCTGTGCAAAATCTTGAACGGTGGTGTCAAAAAGCCTTTTGCTTTGTTTCCTTTGCAGGCCTCCCAGGAACTTGGACTCTCGGACTTTTATTACAGTTGGTGAGAAAGTATGTTGCTGTTGTTTGTTTACTTGATTGCTATAAAAGTATATATGTGTGTGTATATGTACTAATAGTATGATAAACTGTGTGATTATTTATTTATCGTATCAGGAGCGAAGCAAACTGTTGTATTGTATTTAAAAACAAAACAACAAACAAAACACAAAGTTTGCGAGTTTGGTAGTGGATTAAATGTCCTTTGAACAGTCTCTGGCCCCTTGGAGTGCCTCTGGTGTTGCCGCAAGGAGCTCCTCCATTGTGCATCATGTGGCAGGGCTCAGGGTGCATTGCAGCAGGTGGTCAGTGGTTTGCTCCTCTCCACACTCGCATGTCGTGGATTCAACTTTGTGGCCCCATTTCTTGAGGTTGGCTCTGCATCTCGTGGTGCCCGAGCGCAGTCTGTTCAGCGCCTTCCAAGTCGCCCAGTCTTCTGTGTGCCCAGGGGGGAGTCTCTCATTGGGTATCAGTCATTGGGTTTGAGGCTGCCACTTTTGCACTCTCGCTTGCTGAGGTGTTCCAGCGAGTATCTCTGTAGATCTTAGAAAACTATTTCTTGATTTAAGTCGTTGACGTGCTGGCTGATATCCAACCAGGGGATGAGCTGGAGATGTCTCTGCCTTGGTCCTTTCATTATTGGCTGCTACTTCCTGGCAGATGTCAGGTGGTGCAATACCGGCTAAGCAGTGTAATTCCTCCAGTGGTGTAGGGCACAGACACCCCGTGATGATGCGGCATGTCTCATTAAGAGCCACATCCACTGTTTTAGTGTGGTGAGATGTGTTCCACACTGGGCATGCAGACTCAGCAGCAGAGTAGCACAGCGCAAGGGCAGATGTCTTCGCTGTGTCTGGTTGTGATCCCCAGGTTGTGCCAGTTCAGCTTTCGTATGATATTGTTTCTAGCACCCACTTTTTGCTTGATATTCAGGCAGTGCTTCCTGTAGGTATGATATATAATAATGTATAATAATATAATTGTGTATTATATATTACATGTAATATTACTAATAATATTGCAGTATAGTGATATGGTACAATATTGTAATATGTAATGCTAATAATACTCAGGGCAGATCACAATGCACATATACGTGGCAGACATTTAATGTCATTTAGACATACAACATATATAGACAGGCACACAGAGGCTATTTTACTTTCCAGCACCATGAGGGTATGCTCGAATTCTGGCCACCGGAGGAGCTGTCGCTTCACTGTCCACTTGTGACACTGATGGAGTACTTCCTCATTCTTTTGCATGCTGCTGGAGATTTTTATGGCGTCATAAATTAGTTAAATTAGTCTCCACGCATAAGCGGTACCTAAATTTCCTACTTGAGAGATGCAATTGTCTTTCGGGCTGCAAAGGTCAACAGCAAGCTAGATAAATGGTTGGGAGCTTACTCCGACCCGGGCTAGCTTTGTACTCATGATCTTTCGGTCAGTAGTAATTTTGAATTTTCCAGCTCCATGAGCGTATGCTTCAAATTCCGGCCACTGGGGGAGCTGTCGCATCACCGTCCACTTATGACATCAATGGAGTACTTCCTCATTCTTTTGCACGCTGCTGGAGAGTTTTATGGCGTCGTAAATTAGTTATATTAGCCTCCCCACTAAGTGATACTACAGAGGCTATTTAATTTTCCTCTATGAGGGTATTGTTCAAATTCCGGCCACCGGGGGAGCTGTCGCTTCGCTGTCCACTTGTGTCACCAATGGAGTACTTCCTCATTCTTTTGCACGCTGCTGGAGAGTTTTATGGCGTCATAAATTAGCCTCCCC